GGTATCGGATAAAACCTAAACGATACCCATCCCTACTAAGGAGACTTTTTAAGAAATTCTCATTTGTGTTTTCCCTGGATAGGATTTCCTTGGTGGACCACAGCGGTGGGATATATCCTGTTATCTGCATTTTCAGGATGGTGATCCTGCTATAAACCTACAACTCTGTAGCTCTGTTTATCTACTCGCATTCCCTCTAATTCAGACATCCAAACTGAAACACTGGAGGTATGATTGGCTGAAGTGCTGAAATTTATCATGACTGGACTTGGTTTCAAGTGGTGAACTTGATACAAACAATAGCAGCTGTTTTCTACACCGACGTAACATTTTGTAAGCACTTTTAACAGCTGGGGAACTGTCACGAGCAACAGGTTCTCAGTTCAACACAACTTTAATAACTTTGCCAAGCTAACGGGATTTAAGATTAATTTGGGGAAACAAACTGCTCGAAGAACACCGGCGGCTGAGTTTGACTGCAGTGTTCTTCCACAAGTTGAAGTTTTGCTTTCATCGTGTTTGTTAAGTTTAGTTAAGTTTAGTTGTATTTGAAAGCTACATGTTCTAGAATATGAATGAAATTTTATTTATAAAGCACCAAATATCAACAACAGTCACCTTAAGACTTGTTATAGTCTAAGGCAAAGACCCAACAATAACAGAGAGAAAACAGAACTAAAGAGGATTTGAAATGAATATGTCAGATGTCAGAACAAGGTCCAGAGTGTGATTCAGGTGGTGGGTAGGCTCATTTGATTGCAATAACAGGTTAAAGGCAGTGTTGAGTCGCTCCTTTTTAGCATCTACATGGGTGTTAAGATAAACAAGTAGAATTATATTATCTGAACTGACGACTATCTATCACCAGGCGGATGATAAATAAGAAGTCTGAGTCTGACAGAAGACTTTCAGATGAATTAAAATGTTGTCTTGGTCCTTGGTTGATTAATAAGCTAGAGTGGAAGATTGCTGCTACTCCTGCTCCTCAGCCTGTGATTCTGACTCGGGTGTTGACCTTAACAGGTGACTATTGGTTATAAATAACATCTCACACAATGATCTATGGGGTTGTTTTCTGTGGGAGTGCAGACTTGTTATAATGGATGGCTATAATAAGTAAGATTCTGAGAATATTAATATGATATTGTCCGGTTATATCAGAAATCTTTCAGTATTTGATCCATATATTTAGCACTTTTTAAGATAGAACCTCTTTTAATGTGTCTAAAATCTCTTTGCTATGTATCTTCTTGCTGTAAAAAGCAAAGCAACTAAAAGGGGACGTAAACAGTACCTCCAGTGATATTTTTTCCATTTCTCCAGCCACTAAAAGGCAAACATGGATAAAAGTGAAAGTCACATTCAGTATTTTTTAATTTGAATGAAATGCATTTCAGTTATCCTCATAAATGCCTCCAGTATTAGACAGCTGTGGTAAACACAGCCTGTTTGGAGCACAGTAGTAAATCTCCACTGAATTATAATGTTTAGACAGACAGTAACTGTACATGAAGATTGATGTGGGATGCAGTTTCCCATTTAGAGCATTACTCGCAGAGATTGAGAGAATTACTTCACGTATTCTCGAGCTGCATCCTCCAGAGAAGGTTCAAACACCGTTTCCTTTTTATATGCCTCCTCACGGAGGAGACAGATATAGACCCACAGTGTCACTTTTCATTTACATCTCCAGCAGCGGTTATGTCTTTCGTTCAGTAAACACCTTTTTTTCCTCCCGCTCTGTCTCAGTCTCACTTGTTTACTAGCTGGTGACACAGAGGTTGGCATAGATGGCCACCTTTGAGCACCTGTCATTCACACATACACATATTTTCACACGCAGAGGTGAGGTTCCTGTGTAAAGTACGCACAGGTGACCACTTCAGGGTGTCCATCACTTCACACACAAATATTGCATAAATAAACACAGACAGGGAGTGCGTGTGCCGAGTGGGGTCACCAGTGACCACCTCAGAGCACCCATTGCTTTACACGCCTGTGCATGCACACAGATTTGGGTTTTCCAAAGAGAGGGTTTTTCCTCTGTACAGTGAAACACATCCCAGAGGCCAAGGTGCACCATTAATGTACGCACTGCCAGCTGGGAAAACATAGCTAGCTGCATGTATGACCACCAACCTAAGCAGTAGGAGATGAGGTGCTGAAGAAGAGGTGCTGGAGGTGGAGGAGGAGCAGTGTGTGAAGCACAAAGTACATCCCATTAGTCATCAGCTTGATTCAACACATCATTGTGGACCACTCTTCTTTACAATTATTGACTTCATTGAGGTTTTCATTTATTCATTCGTCTAATAGGGTTGAGATTTAGACTTTGACTAGATCAGCGGTCCCCAACCCCCGGGCCTCGGACCGGTACCGGTCCGTGAGTCGTTTGGTACCGGGCCGCGAGAGTTGAGGCTCAGGTGTGAAATGTATGGTTTTCAGGGTTTTTATCGGTTTTCAGCGTTATTTTGTTATCGTTTTTATCGTTAACTCTGTTTTCCTGGGTCTTTTCACGTGTGTTATAAATAAATCTTTTTTTTTTTCAGTACCGGTACTAGTTTTATTTTGTTGTATTTATCCGCGACACCTTAAAGGCCGGTCCTTGAAAATATTGTCGGGCATAAACCGGTCCGTGGAGCAAAAAAGGTTGGGGACCGCTGGACTAGATCACTGCAAGACCCATTCTTTTCTTTTTCAGCCATTCTGTTGTTTTTTTGCTGCTCTGCTTGACATCATTGTCCTGTAGTTTGACACAGTTAGCTATTAGACAGATGGCCTCACAGTTCACGCTACAATACTTTGGTATACAGAAGAACTCATGGTCGACTCAACAAGTTCAAGGTGCCCACCAACATGCTTGGCAGTCGGTATGAGGCGATTGTGTCGATATGTTGTGTTTGTGCTTTACCATTGTGCATTTTGGCTAAACATCTGCACTTTGTCTCCATCTAACCAAAAGACATTGTTCCAGAAGTCTTGGGCCTTGTTCAGCTACAACTTTGCAAACCTAATCAGTGCTGCCATGTTCGTTTTAGAGAGAAAACTCCTCGCAACCCTTCCAAACAAACCATACCTGTTCAGGTTTTTCATGAACTGAGACTTAGAACCCAAGATGTAGGTCTTTTTTATATTTACTCAGAGCATGTCCACTCCAGAGAAGACCGACTATATGTTGGATTCTTTTCACCTTGTCAATAATACATCTTACTGTAAAGCGATAGATTTCAATCGTTTGGAAGTGGCCTTATAAATTTGATTGGTAGCAACTGCTGCTTCTCTAAGATACTTGCTGGTGTCTTTTCTCCTTGGCATTGTGTTAACACAACACCTGAATGCTCCAAACCTGCAAACTGCCTCTGCTTTTAGAGGTGTTAACACTTGCTGATGATCAGTTAATACAGTGTTTGATTAGCAGTACCTGCTAAGAGGTGCTACTTAGCCTCTTAAATGGAATCAATAAGACTGTACTTAGTTTATCACAGACTGCTTCAGCATTTCGGCTTGCTTTTTGTTAAATAAAAGATGGCGTGATGTAATCTGTCATGTGTTGTTGTTTATCAGAGGTTGTATGTAACCTAATCTTGAGACCTGATTGTGAGACTTTTTTTCAGGAGAGCACAGAAAGGGCTTACACAAAAAAGTGTGAGGTAGAGGTGGTAAAAGAAAACTTTAACCTAAAATGTTAGTGTTGAATGTGCTGAAATAAAGTGGGTGGACGCTGAATGAATAATACTCCCTTCGCAGCATGTAGTGTCAAGGTGCCCTTGGACACCCATCTGCAACAATAGAGTCAGCGAAAGTGTTGGCGTCATAAGGAACACCGTGTTCTTTTTGCCTTTCTGTAACAAGGGTGCACCCAAATCCCAGTACTTCACGTGCATATTGCAGTGTAACAGTAAAATGCTCATCTGTTTTACATTTTGGGAAGACGCAGCTGAAGCTGATATGAAGATGCACAATTCGGCCCTTTAAAAAGAGAACAGGTCAATTCTTTTGCTGTATAAATTAATTTAACCATTGAAAGTAGCACAAAACAGTTTAAAAGTTCACAATTTAAAAAAAAAAAACACAACTGCCCTGAGATTAAAAATAAATAATGGGTCAACAATAATCGGATTTTCACAGTTTCAAATCAGAACTCAGTATTTGAGTGAATTTAAACAAATTATTTGCTGCCTTAAAAAAATAATGGCAAAATTGTAGCAGCAGAGAAACTAACACAAAAAGTAGTACTCTGGCACATATTTTAGAGGGTTAATAGCCATAAATAAATCATAAGCAAATCATTCATAAATTTGAAGAATTGTCTGAACTGTATGAAATACTTGGATGAATTAATCCAGAGGAATCTCCTGACTTACCTTTGTTGCAGAAACCCTTTTAAGCTTTGTGGATGACATCTTGTCTGGAGCCAGGTCTCCATGTGTGATGTTAGGTGACATCCCTGACCTACTGTCCTCCTCCATCAGTATGATTATTCGCTGCCTGGAGCCCGACACCACATACATGTAAGTATGGAGTCTGTTCTGAGTGTGTCATGTAATAAACAAAAGTGACCCGAAATAGGCACTCTGGTGGAGTTACTTTGTGTGTGTGTGTGTGTGTTTATAAGTAGTTTTAAACCTTGTGAGCCACAAAACAACATAATAGTTAAAGAAGAACTGACTGCGTTACAGTCAGCGCGGGAGCAGCGGCTTCGCTCATGCATGATTCATTTGCAGTTTGGAGCATAGATGTGATTGCATCCCCTAGTCCTCCCCCAGCCTGATTGCAGCTGGGGGAGGACTATCCTCCTCCGTGAACGCTTTGGCACGAGCTAGGTGCCCACGGCAGCACCCACTGCTTGTTGAGAGTAAGAGCGATAAGCGCGTTCACCTCAAAAAGTTGTCATAAATGAGTCTCCAATAACACCAGAAAAAGTAGCCAGATTTGTCCCTAGTTGCTTTTTAGAAAAGAAAACTCGCTAAATATAGCGACAAAGATGCTAAGTTGGCAACACTGGCTGTAGAAAAGTAGGCTTAAAAAAACTGCTTACTGCAAAAACAAAATAGCTAACTCTTTAGCTAATAAAGAGCTAATTTGTTAGCTCCAGACTGAATGCGGCCTCTTCTAACTTTAAGTTCAATTTTATTTATCAGTATCGTAAATTTTATATATTTTTGATTTTAAATCATTTGATACTTTTGAAGTTAGCACTGTCGTTCACACTATGTTATCCTTCTTTGTTTCTTCTTCAAATGTTATGAAGTGCTAGCTGCTACTAAGCTAGTTAGTTAGCAACCGCAAATCATTTAATTCTTTTGATTTTTGTTTTATTTTTTGACATCACATGCAGGACTATCAGAGAAATGTCAATGTAGCTTGTTTTTGTGGTTTTACAATCTTTCAAATCCTCTATAATGTACCTTGTATGTACTTCTCTTACTAAGTAACAAACTGTAGAGCATATGGTTAAAGGATCATTGTGCACCATTTGTCTATTATAAGCCACCGTACCTTGTGCCGGGTAATACAGTCAAAACATCTGTGGGCTTTACACATTTTCATAAATATTTGTGCAGCTTAGGTGGATTATGTTTATTTTTTTTATATTTTTTCCACATATTGGCATGATGGTGTCACGCAGTTCCTTCATATTTTCAGTTGCACATCCATAATGGGAATCTTCCACCATAAAGGTGGTCTATTGGATTGAGATCTAATCAATTCTGAAGTTATTTGAGTCAAGTGAACTCATTCTCATATTCAAAGAAACCAGCCTGACATGATTTGAACTTTTTGGTACGTTATCTAGCTGGTAGCAGATAGATTGTGGTCATAAATGGATGGATATAGTCTCCAACATTACTCAGGTAGGCTATGGGATTTAACAATGTTCAGTTGGTACTAATGGGCCCCAGGTGTGCCAAGAAAATATCCCCCAACACATTACATCACCAACACCAGCCTGAACCATTAATACAGCACAGGATGAACATTACTTCCATGCTTTCATGTTTTTTATGCAAATTCTGAGCCTGCCATCCAAGCAGCAGAAATTGAGCCAGCACAAACTGTATCCTCAGATTCTCGGTCTGCTGCTGCAGCTCACCCGCTTCACTGTTTGACAGAGAAGCTCTTGTAAGATGGTGGCTTGAGTTACTGTTGCCTTCCTATCAGTGCAAAGCAGTTTGGCCATTCACCTTTGACCTCTGGGATTAACAAGGCATTGCCACTCACTGACTATTTCCTCTTTTTCGTAAACCCTAGAGACCCTGGCAGATCAACAGTTTCTGAAATACTCAGACCAGTTTATCTGGTATTAACCAGCCACGTTGGCGCTCCTTCTTTAACTTCAGATTCTCAGTTTGAACTTGTTTTGAACATGACTAAGTATATTGAGCTCCCATGTGTATTTTTGTGCTAATGAGCAGTTGAACAGGTCCTTATCAGATTTAAAAACCTCAGTGGTCTGTCAGTGTATGTTTATGCTTCCAGTGCAAAATTAAAAACACACACACACAGATGCACAAGCACCGGATGCTCAGATGCTCTCATTAGCATGCTCACAGTTATCTCACAGAAAGCTTGGCAGGTGGGAAGCCACATGCATAACACACACATACACAGACATTGCAGAGCAGAAGAACAGGGTGGAGAGGGGAAAAAGAGGGAGAAGAGAGAAAGAAAGAGCCAAAAATGCAGAGGTAACATTTGGGGCTGAGAACGAAAGAGAGGAAAGAGTGAGAAAAAGATCAACAGCAGTGTGTAGAGGCAACGAGAAGTAAAGAAAAAAAGGGCAAAAGGCCCATGGACAGAGCTTCTTCAAACAATTTTGATGTATGTGGGTTTGGCGAACAGCTACACATGCTCTTTTAATTCCAGTATCAGCGAGATTCCTGCTCTTTCTTTCCTGTCTGACAGCTCATTCATCTCCCTGAGCTCTTAGCTTGGGGAGAGCCTCTGCACCGAGGCCTCGTCTCTCCCATCAGCTCTTTATATTTTCTAGAAAGATGGATTCTGTACAATGCTCATGAATGGCACTTTGTAGAAGCAAAATACGCTCTTTCAGATAAAATACGCCCAAGAAAGGCATGCTAGAAACTCAAAGACAGCAAAAAAAAAAAAGATACTTTGCAGTTGCATTAAAAGCAAAAGTTCAGTCTTTGAGTATATGATGGAAAGATTCACATGGCTTTCTTCTAACCGAGAATATCTGTCACTCACTCGTCTATTTCTTTACACCTCTTTGCCTTTTGAGCGTTCGTACTGCTACATCTTTCTTTGTTACTGCAATAATTGGCCACTAGGTGGAGATATTCATTCAGTGAAACCAGCTCTGCAGAGAAAGGCAAATTGGGAGTCTGGCACTGTTCCCGTATTGATAATGCAGGCCCTGGTCTTCAAAGCAGGGGGTCTTTCGATTGGATTAACAGCTGCAGGAAATGCATCAGCTGTGACATGTTTGCTGCTGCTCATGTGTTTTTTGTTCAGCACTTTCATGAGAATACACGGCAGGAAATCCATTTTATTACTTTAGGTTTTTATAGATTTTCACTAACAAAATGGAAAAATGGACTTTATATTTCACAGTGTGTGTGTGTGTGTGTGTGCAGGTTCCGGCTATGGGCAGTAGACAACACGGGGCGCCGTTCGACTCCAAGTGAAGTCACCATCAAAACTCCGTGTCCAACTGTGGATGACGTCAAAGCACAAGGTGAGGGGAAAAGACTGTACATCATTATTTGTGTAGTAAATATGATTGTTATATGATGTCAGAAAAATACGGGGGGAAAAAAAATTATATTTGGTGCAATTTTTTTTGTTTGTTTGTTTTTTAATTTACCGGACAGACATTTGCTCTTTCTATTTGCAGTCACGTCTCAAAACCGCACAAAACAGATGTTAGATGAGTTCATCGAGCGAGTCATAAAGACACAGGCAGATAGTTTTTCTCTCTGGAGTAGAACTGTTTATGGACACTGTACACTAAGATCTCACGAGAATATCGGTTATAAAGTGTGTTATTTCATGTCAGAAATGAGCTGAAATCATTTGTCACCCTGTGCACTAGTGAAGCTTCATACCAAAGACTTTATAGATCCTGCTGCTGAGTTGGAGACAGGGCCGTAGACATTTGGGTAGTTTTCACCTTTTTGCCACTACAATTGAAGTATGGCTTTAATTAAAGGCCCTTAACTGTCTTTTTTTCTGCTCTACTACCATATTTCCTGGTGCTAAGGGTGGGCTGATTAAAAAAGTTACGCAAAAGCTGTTTCAGTGATAGGTGTGGGATATTTCTTCATTCCTAAATTAAGCAAGGCAAGGCAAGTTTATTTGTATAGCACAATTCAACAACAAGGTGATTCAAAGTCCTTTACAGAGACATTAGAAACAAAAACAAATAAAAAGCATGATTTAAAATTGATTAAAACAAGCAGACAAACAAACTAACTAATTAACAAACAAACAAACAAACAAAACAGTAGATAAAATCAAAACAGATAAAATCAGAACAGTAGATAAAATCAGAAGTTAAAATGTAAGTTTTGAAATTTAAGCTTAAAGCAGGCAAATATTCAAGAGTTCATTTCAAGTGATGAATGATCATGGGATCCTTTTCATGGTGAAGAAAAACCCTTTTACAACGGTCCCCAGAGGGGAAAACACTCCCCCTGTAAGGTAGCTATCCATTACTGAAGTCTACCATAAAGAGGCTTTGTGGAAGACGCTTTGACAGAAGGTTCAACCTCATGAACAGAAAGGCCAGGTTAGAGACTCTCAAACAGCATTCTTTGGACGGATGAAAGCAACATCAACCTGTCACAGAAGCACAGGAGTAACAAAAAATGGAGTGGTTTCAAATTGTACTTGGGTCACTAATGTTTATTAATGATGTGACAGAAGACAGAAGCAGCCAGATGAATTCTGAAGTGTACTGTGATCCATCCAGCCGTCCATTCGCTTCCGCTTAAACAATTTAGGGTCACAGGCACCCTGAAGCCTATCCCGGCTACCGCAGGGTGACAGGCAGGGTACACGCTGGTCTGATGCAGGGCCAAGCAGAACTTGCAAACTTGATATTGTCTACAATAGTGGACAAAGGCCTAAAAGACCGGGCCAAACAGGGATAAGCCACGTGGTCAGTCAGGTTGAATTTCACTAGCGGAGTAAGACACATCACAAACATCTGCAGACTTCGAGCCATCATTACATGGAAGGACTTCAGCAAAATATTAAAGTTCAATAATGATTTTTTTTAATTTGTCCAATTCCTATCTGAACCCTATTAAGGGGCTACTTAATTTACTGTGCTTGACTGTGAAAACAATTTCCAATGTAATTGTCTAATTGTATAAGAAAAGATGTGCCACTAAATGCAGTTGGTTTTAATTACTGGAAATCTATGCATGGTGTGACATGCAGCACATGCCATGTAGTTGCTTTTACTGATGTTCTTGGCATTGTCACTTCCGAGAGGACTTACGCTCCAAGGTTTTAGTTTCTTCAGTGAATTCTTCAACTTTGTTGTTGATGATTTATCCCTTTTAAAATGATCGGTAATGATAGTGAGACCAAAATCTTTATGTAAAATGACATCTGCTTTATTCATCTAAAATTGGAGCTGCAGATGTCATGATCCTGGGTCATTTTGACCCAGCGTT